CGCCCCGGGTTGGAAAGAACTCGTCCTCGAGTTCAGAGTAGTGTCATCAGGATCCACAAAACAATGACTTAGGTGCTTCACATTAAAGACATCAGAAGTCTTCAAGTGACTGGGAAGTCGCAACCTGTAAGCATTATCATTGATCTTCTGCACGACCTCACAAGGTCCAATCTTCCGATCCTTAAGCTTATTATACTCACCAACAGGAAAACGATCACGAGTTAATACAGCCCAAACAAAATCACCAACATCAAAAAGTACCTGACGACGATGATTGTCGACCCGAGTCTTGTACTTGGTATTGCTCTCATGAATGGTCTGTTTCACCTGCTCATGGATACCCCGAAGATACTTTGCCATCTCATCTGCTTTAGGACTGAAACGTCCTATACGTGGAATAGGGGCTAAGTCCAACACCCCGGATGGGTTCTGACCATAGACAATCTCAAATGGGCTTAAACCTGTGGTTCTGTTTTTTGATCTGTTGTAGGCAAATTCTGCCTGAGGCAATGCCAAATCCCACTGCTTCGGCTTCGTTCCTGCCAAACACCTTAAAAGGTTTCCCAAACTTCGGTTCACCACCTCAGTCTGGCCATCCGTCTGGGGGTGGTAGGCGCTACTGAAATTCAACTGTGTTCCCAGTTTCCCCCACAGGCTCTTCCAGAAATGACTAATGAACTTAGTATCACGATCTGAAGTGATGGATCGAGGAACACCATGTAAACGCACAATCTCCTTGAAATAGAGATGGGCAATCCGGTCAGCATCCATAGTCTTTCTGCAAGCTACAAAATGAGCCATCTTGGAAAACCTGTCAACCACAACAAAGATAGAATCAGAGGCCCTTTGGGTGCGGGGTAAGCCTAGTACAAAATCCATGCTGACATCGAACCAAGGAGCTTCAGGAACAGGTAAGGGAGTGTACAATCCCGCATTGGTGAGAACTCCCTTAGACCGCTGGCACACATAACAACGGTCCACATAATGGGTCACATCACTAGTCAACTTGGGCCAATAAAATTCAGAAGAGATAAGGGCCAATGTCTTATCTCGGCCAAAGTGTCCCTCATTATGGAGTTCACTTATAATTTGCTGCCTCAATGAACAATCTGGAATGCACAATTGTAATCCACGAAACAGATACCCATTATGCAAAACAAAATCATGACGGTGACCCTCAGTTACCTCCTGAAATATCCTTCCAAAAGAAGGATCAGCTGCATACATATCTGTGAACGTCTCAAATCCTGCAACTTTAGTACTCATGGTGGTGAGAAGTAAGGTACGACGGCTCAGGGCATCTGCGACGCGGTTCAAACTCCCTGCTTGGTGCCTCAGCGTAAAAGTGAATTCTTGCAAGTATGCTACCCACTTGGCATGACGTCTACTCAGCTTGTGTTGGCCATTGATGTACTTCAAGGCCTCATGATCGGTAAACAGAATAAACTCCTTCTGTACTAGGTAGTGACGCCAATGCTTCAGGGACTGAACTATGGCATAAAACTCCAGATCATAAGTGGAATAATTTTTCTTTGATCCCGATAGCTTCTCACTGAAAAAAGCAACCGGACGACCTGCCTGACTCAGAACACCACCAATGCCAACGCCAGATGCATCACAATTTACCTCGAACACTTTGTCAAAATATGGAAGTGCCAAAACTGGAGCCTCGGTCATCTTCTGCTTGACCAGTTGAAAACTGGCCTCTGCCTCCTCAGACCACTGGAAATCACGCCCCTTGAGGCACTCTGTGATAGGGGCGATCAGAGTACTGAAATTTCTAATGAATCGACGGTAAAAAGACGCCAAGCCATGGAAACTTCGGATGTCATGTAAGGTTCTTGGTCTGGGCCACTCCAAGACTGCATCTATTTTTGACTGATCTGCATGAACACCATCAGTAGACACAACAAAACCAAGAAAAGTCACAGAAGTAGTGAAGAAAGAACACTTCTTTTGATTGACAAACAAGCACTCCGTTTTCAGCATCTCAAAACAGCACGGAGGTGATCGAAGTGTGAAGTCCATGTCGGACTATAAACGAGGATATCATCGAAGTAAACTACAACAAATTTCCCCATAAAAGGCCGCAAGACCTGATGCATAAATCTCATGAATGTACTGGGCGCATTGGATAACCCAAAAGGCATGACCATCCACTCATACAACCCTTGTGGCGTTTTAAACGCCGTCTTCCACTCATCTCCAGGCCTTATTCTGATTTGGTGGTAACCGCTCTTAAGGTCAATTTTTGAGAAGATCTTAGAACCAGATAGCTGATCCAACATATCATCTAGACGGGGAATTGGAAACCGGTACTTCACTGTAATTCTGTTGATCGCTCGGCTGTCAACACACATACGCCAAGAACCATCTTTCTTTGGCACTAACAGAGCAGGGACTGCACATGGGCTCATACTCTCTCGGATATAGCCCCTCTCCAACAACTCTTCCACTGTCGCTGCAACTCTTCGGCCTCCTTGGGACTGAGGCGATATGCTGGTCGATTTGGCAAACTTGACCCAGGAACAAGGTCAATTTGATGTTGAATATCCCTCATAGGTGGTAGTCCAGGAGGAAGATCCTCTGGCATCAAGTTAGAGAATTCTGCTAGCAACCGCTGCACCTCTACTGGTAAATCTGTATCCACGTCTACTGCATTGTTCTCGCAAGGTAGCAAGGCATAGACCACGTCGCCATGCTCAATCTCATCTAAAAACCTGGACATAGAAAGCAGATTAGTATTATGGGTTACTGGGGTAGGAGTAAGTCCTTCCCGCCGGGGTGCCAACACAATCTTTTTTCCCTTGATGCTAAGGGAATATGTATTCTTCCGTCCATCATGAATGACACTGCGATCATACTGCCAAGGTCGACCCAACAATATATGACACGCATCCATAGACACAACATCACACCAGGCATTATCAAAATATTTTCTACCAATTGAAAAAGACACCAGGCATCGCCTATCAACTGTTACCTCACTGTCTTTATTTAGCCATGACAACTTGTATGGCTTAGGATGACGGTCCGTCTTCAACTGCAATTTCTGGACAACCTCCTCGGACACTACATTCTCACAACTGCCGCTGTCAATGATCATTTTGCAGACTTTATCTGCAACTGTGCAAGTCGTGTGGAAAATATTGGTTCTCAACCAATCGTCCCCTGAATCGCCCTTGGGGGTAAGTAGACTCTTGCGAACGACCAGAGTCTCATGACCATCTCCATACAGCACATCATCAGTCTCATCATCGTCATACACGGGTTCGCCAATCTCCTCAGTCTCGTCTTCCACGTTTTCCTCAATCAACAAATTTTTGCCCTTTTGACTAGCAGGCTTCCTGCAATCAGTCGCCCTATGCCCTTGTTCACCACAACGAAAACATCTAATAGTAGGGTTAGAATTACCCTGCGGTGGCTGCTGAGCAGGACGGGACTCTTGAGGGCGAACTGGTCGTCTGTTGTGATCGCTCCTGATCACTGGTCTCCTGTTTTGCTGTTTTTCAACAGCAAGTGCACGTTGGTATGCTTCCGAAACACTCCACAATGAATGAAGGCTGAGGACATCTTGCAAGGGCTGGCGTAAACCCCCCAAATATCGCGCCACCATCTGCTCCTCCGTCTCAGATAAATCGTTCCGGGCGACCAATTGGTAAAACTCCTCCGTGTAATCATCGACTGATCGCGCGCCCTGCCTCAACGCATGAAGTCGCTGAAATAAGGTTTGCGTGTAGCCGAAGGGAAGGAAGTGGCCCTTCATCTTCTTTTTCATCTTCTCCCAATCAGTGATCTTGTCTTTGCCCTGTCTTTCTCGTGAACGTCGTAACTGTTCCCACCACGCAGATGCTCTGCCCTTGAGTTTGATGGCGATCAGTTTCACTTTCACACGATCGGGGACTTCCTTATATTCAAAAATACGCTCCACTTCATTAATCCAATCCACGAATCCCTCGGCCTGTAATGTACCAGAAAACTCAGGGAGATCGACCCGAAAACCGAGGTCTCCATGACGCTCCTCCCGACCACGGTGCTCTCGGAATCCTGCGCCCTGGAATCCTGCGCGATTGTGATATGGGTTTTCGAAAGTGGAATTGGTATCGTGATCAGAGGCCTCACGATCCTCTAAATCCTGCGCCGCCAGGCGCTGGGTTAATTCTGCGACTTGCCTCTGCAAATCCGCAATCATCACATCCTGAACGCTGCGATCACGGCGTTGGGCTTCCTCATTCGGAACCTGCTCACGACGACCACGACCTCCAGCCATTGAAACTGGTGAAATTTCCCAAGAAGATGTTGAAGCTCTGACACCAACTGACGCCAAACAGAATAGTGATTATCCTGTAGGCTAGCTCCGACAGACGATTCACAAGAGAAAATTCGCCCAAAAACCAGAGAAAAAAAGTCTCTAGGGTTTAATAAAATATTATAAAATCAATAAAATATATGAAAAGCAGTCCACAAGCCGGACTGTTATAGCAAAAAAAATCGTCTTTATTCGAATTTTGCCAAAAATAGCAAAAATCGTATTTATTCGAATTTTGCCAAAAATAGCAAAATCCCGAAAATCACTCTAAATTGAAATTCGAAATAAAATAAGCAATCTCCCAAAAATCCGGTCTAAATCGGATTTAAATTGACTTCCTAATTAACAATCGAAATATTACCATAAATAGTAAAAAAATAACTAAATCTAGTGATTCGGAGGGGAAACGGCAGAATTTGAGGTTGAAAAAAAGGCCACATAGAGCGTAGCTCAATGTGGAGAGCGTGCGCGTCGAAAAGAGCTTTCCGAATTGGGGTCTTATGCGCGATTCTGACACCTGTAGCCAAAGTTATGGCCAAAAGACTGAAACATACTCAAAACGACCCCAATAAGGAACATGTCACAATCAATTCCCGCCTTTGCGCTGATCTGCCAACTCATGGTATCTCAGCGCCATCAACGTGCAATCTGACAGCTCAGCATCATCTGTCTCGGATCCCCCTGCATCACGATGGTGGCTCGGGAGTGCTCAACAGCAGTTCACGCGGCAAGAGGATGAGCTGTGAGGTCCACGTGCCAGTTTGCTAGTCGTTATTGGCGGCGGCGGCTGCTGATGTTAGGGTAAAAAACACTAATCTATTTGGGTTTGCCAAATGGGCTAGTTCGGATCAGATCCGGGTTTGAACAGGGTCGGGTTGATTTCTTGGGTCTAGGCTCCAGTTGGATTTTGGATTGGGTCTAAGTATTTGTAATTTGGATCTTTGTAAATTAGGCTTTGGGTGGACTGGTTGTAACTTAGGCCTGCAAAAATGTAATAATATTAAAATAATAACAATAATAATAAGATGATAAAAATAGTACCGAGACAAACAGGTCTCTACAGTTTTAGTTCTAGAAAGAGGAGGGTCTCCCTATCGCAAGCCTGGCAAGACAGACAAAGGGAACTTCTTGCTTACTCTTTTAGATCCCTCGCCCGATTCATATGCTGAAGTGTTCGTTACGGAGGATGGAGTATACAACCACCGAGCACGCGTTCTTGGCGGTGGCTCCGTCGCAGGGTTTTACTTGTATGCTGAAACCGAGTTCGTCAAGGTATCCGGTTTGGATGAAGCTCTAGTAAACGATTCGTATCGCTGGGTTGAAAAGAAGGTGGTATTCGAGGCACCTGTGTTGCAGTGGCAATCTGCAGTCAGGGATGGGCTGCTTGAAGCCGGGGTTTTACCGTTCAACGGAATCACGTACGACAACGTCAATGGGACAAAAATTGGCTCAACCATTTTTGATGAAGATGATCACAGACATAGTGCAGCTGACTTGCTCGAGTATGCTGATCCAAAGAATATCAAGGTTTACTTGCATGCCACGGTTCACAAGATCATTGCCACAACAGAAAGTAAGGCTATATAATATATAATCTGTATACTAATAATATATAACTTTTCCTTGGATTTTTTACGTGTAAATTTCAGCCGTTGGATCACGACCAAAAGTTGAAGGGGTGATATATAAGGATGCATTGGGAGTAAGGCACACGGCATTTTTAACAAAAGACCCCAAGAGTGGAATAATCGTAACAGCAGGTGCCATTGGAAGCTCACAATTACTGATGCTGAGTGGAATCGGACCTGCACAGCACCTCAAGGAACTTGGCATAAAGGTGGTGATGGACCAACCCATGGTTGGCCAAGACATGGCCGACAATACATTGAACGGCCTTTTTATTCCTTCCCCTACCCCGGTCGAGCTCTCACTCATTTCTGCCGTCGGCATATACCTACCTTCTAACTATATTTTACCAGGAAGTGGCTTGAATTTGGCTCCTTCATTCGGATGGATTTCTGAATTTTTTCTCCGCGTCATAAATAAGGTTTTCTTACCTGCTATTTCATAGCTCTCTCTATATATATGATCATACACTTCAGTAGAATGTTTAACAATGCTGTTGGTCGTTTCATGTGTTTACCTGTGTGAAGACCGATATCGGATCCTTCTTCGATAAGAGGCTTAACGGAGGAATTATCGTTCAGAAAGTTGCTCGTCCACTCTCAAAAGGGAATATCGAGCTTCGGAGCACAGATCCAAACGATACCCCCAAGGTGACGTTTAATTACTTCAAAGAACCAGAGGACTTGAAACCGTGTGTGCAAGGCATGCAAACTGTAATAAACGTCGTAAACTCCAAAGCCTTCTCGAAATTCCGCTACCAAACAATCTCGACCCAACAACTTCTGAACCTGGTGGCGGCGCTTCCGTTAAACCAGAGACCTCGAAATGCTAATACTACAAAGTCTTTGGAACAATTCTGCAATGACACTGTGATGACATTTTGGCATCATTATGGAGGATGCCAAGTTGGTAAAGTTGTGGATCAAGATTACAAGGTACTTGGCCTGGATGGCCTCAGAGTTATCGATGCTTCAACGTTTAATTTCACACCCGGAACTAATCCTCAGGCTACGATCATGATGCTCGGAAGGTAATATTTGTACTCCTCGCCTTTATAAATAGCTCCTGCTGAAGAATTTGCATGCATAATTAATTAACTTTTGATGCTGAGCCATGGGAGTACGAATTCTGAAAGATAGACAATCCTAGAGAAGGAACTACCTAAGTTCGTGATCTTAACAAGCTGCTGCAAATCTCTGTTGGATTAAACATGTTCGATGCCGTTGAGAAACCTTTGTTTGATCTTCTTTAGCTCAGTAACAACATCCTTCATATCTCTTCTTTCTTCAGGTAATTCAGCTGAACAGTCCAAAGCTAACTCCAAGATGGACGAAATACTAACAACAAAGCACTTATCATATTTTCTTAATAAATTAACATCTGCAATATCTATAGTTCCTCTAGACAATGATCTTTTCGTCCAGTGCCTTATAGTCATTTCTTCAGCAAACATTTCATCAGTTGGCTTTTTCTTCGTGAAAGTTTCTATAAGAACAATTCCATAACTATAAACGTCACAATTTATAGAGACAATTCCAGCTGATCCAAAATCTGCATTTCAAGCATCATTAAAGTATCATTAATCCTACTATGTATAAGCATGCACATGAAACAAAAATGTAGAAAGTAAATCATAAAAAATTCATCTGGTGCCATATAACGAATAGTTGCAAGAGTCATGGATTGTTTCATCACATCTCCTTCCTTCAACAATTTGGCAATACCGAAATCCCCAACACGTGCAACCATGTCGTCGTCAAGTAGAATATTACTCGGTTTTATGTCGCAATGAATTATCGGTGTTGGATGTCTGGTGTGGAGATGTTCTAGAGCTGTCTCAACATCTACCATTATGTCGGCCCTTTGTAAGAAATCAAGGAAATAATTTCCAGAATGTAACCATTTCTCAAGACTTCCTTTAGGCATGAAATCAAGCACCAAGGCTTTGAAGTCAACATTGGAGAAACAAGTAATAACCTTGACAAGATTGCGGTGAACTATATTAAACATAGCTTCACATTCGACGTCGAAACTCCTAAAAGATCCTTTTGTCTGCAAATTGAAAACTTTTACTGCAACTTCCATTCCATCTGAAAGCCTCCCTTTATATATTTATCCGAAGCTCCTGAAACCAAGCATCTCGCTTTCATCGAATCCACCAGTTGCCTGTGAAAATTCAGCATGTGAAATTCTTCTCCTCCTTATTTCCAAAGACAGTAAATCATCTTTAACCAGTCGAGTTGTGTTCCTACTCTGGCATCTTCGGTACATAACAATCAAGACTATTAGAAATAGTACAATGCCAATTGTTGGTAAACCATACCTTAAAGCATGCAATCTGGTCTTATTGGAATTTCTGTGAATGCTACCCTTGCAAGGTGGGACTAGCAACCTAGGTGGACCACAAAGTGCATAATTCTCCATGAATGATTTTCTGGAAAAGCTTGTGAAACATCCATTGGTAGGAATTTCTCCTTCGAGTCTATTGAAAGATACATTAAAATAGAGTAGATACGAAAGCTTTTCAAGAGATTCGGGAATGACTCCAGAGAGATTGTTATTGCATAAATCCAAGAACTCCAGACTAATCAAGCCACCAAGTGATCCGGGGATATGACCATGGAATATGTTATTAGATAAATCTAATGTAACCAAAGTTTGAAGACCCCCAAACGTAGATGAGATATCACCCGTGAGTAGATTTCTTGATAATTTCAAATGTAGCAAACTCCTGAAATGTCCAACATCAGGAGTATGTGAATTGTTAAGGTAGTTTGATGAAAAATCCAATTCTAAGATATCTTTAAGATCCCACAAAGTTGAAGGTATTGTGGAAATCAAGTCGTTCGAATTCACGTGAAGATTCCTGAAAGAAGTGACATTACCCAAACATGAGAGTATTGATCCTTGGAGCTTATTCAACCCGATATTCAAGATGTATAATCTCTCCAAACCATAGATGCTTTCTGGGATGTGCCCTTCTAATTTATTAGTGTTAGGTATGGCTCATAAATATACCAGTAAAGAGGACAGGAGATGGAGCGGAGTGAGCGAAGCGAACATCAACTGTCCTTACAAAGAAAGTCTCGTTGTGGGGTTACAAATTATGTGGGTTGTGGGTGCGGGGCGTAGCCCCCGCGGTACGGTACAGGATTGATTTTGTAATTATGTACCAGGGTTTTCTATTATAAATAGAGATGTAACCTAGACCTAAAATATCATTGAATAAAATTCTAGCGCCGCCTAGGCACCGAGGACGTAAGCACATTGCCGAATCTCGTAAAATTCTCGTGTTCTTTCGTTTTCTTTACCCATTTTCGTCAACAATTAGAGAAAAGGCTTAGAGTTTGGAGGTTATGCAGTCTTCCTACTGATGTAGGAATAATTCCACTCAATTCATTGTTGCCAAGTTCCAAACGCAACATGCCGCTTAAGTTACCTATTTCCATCGGAATATTACCTTTAAGCTCACAATCCTCAGCCAAAAAATATCTAAGGGATGTCGAAAGGTTCCCGACGTAAGTAGGAAGGACGCCATTCAACGGATTTGTTTATACTTCTATATGTGACAAATTCTTACAATTCACCAAAGAAGAACGAAAGCTCCACTCATGAGTTGCAGATTTTGTGGTCAAATGATTGTTTGCAACTTGAAGTATTTCAAGATGTCTTAGGTTGCCAACCGTCTTCGGAATTAGGCCAGATAAAAAGTTATCTCCTACGTCGAAAATCTCGAGCATGGAAGCATTGGAGATAGAGCTAGGAATGTTTCCACTAAGTTTGTTTCCCCACAATTGAAGACGCCAAAGCATTGGAGCATTGGTCAAGGGCGGTATGGTACCTGTTAACATCAGAATTTCACCTTTCAGTATATACAGCGGGTGCTTCAACTAAGGGTTAAAGTGTATTTTAAGTTCATGTACTATAACTAAGGGTTAAAGTGTATTTTAAGTTCATGTACTACAACTAAAAGTTCATTCTAGTCCTGCTATTATAGAAAGGAACATTTTAATCTCTGTACTGTACTTCAAAGTTCATTTTACCTTCCAAATTGTTGTCAAAGATATGGATTGCTTGGAGCGTGGTTGAATTGAAAATACGTTTCGGAATGAGCCCTGTGAATCGATTTGCTGATAGTTCCAAGAGTTGAAGGCTGTAGCACTCATTTATACTTGAAGGAATGTTGCCAGATAACTTATTACCATACAAGTAAAGCTCTCTGAGTATCGGAAGATGACGGCATAGATCATCAGGTAAATTACCTGATAGGCTATCGTTGGAGTAAGTGATAACTATTAAAGTAGAAATGTTGAAGATGGAAGTCGGAATTCGACCTGTAAGACCTTTCGTATGTTGCATGAATAGTGTCTCCAGACAAAGAAGATTGCCGCTTTCTTCAGGGATTTCACCTGTAAACATAGAGAAAATATAAAGGTTTTGATGTTGGATTCTAAACATAAAAAAAATCATCAAGAACATGCATACCTTGTAGGTTATTTGTCCCCAGATCTAATTTTCTGAGTTGTGTCAAATTCCCTATGCTTCTCGGAATAACGTGTTGACGAAAACGGGTAAAGAAAACAAAAGAACACGAGAATTTTACGAGGTTCGACAATGTGCTTACGTCCTCGGTGCCTAGGCGGCGCTAGAAGTTTTTATTCAATGATATTTTAGGTCTAGGTTACATCTCTATTTATAATAGAAAACCCTGGTACATAATTACAAAATTAACCCTGTACCGTACCGCGGGGGCTACGCCCCCGCACCCCCAACCCACATAATTCGTAACCCCACAACGAGACTTTCTTTGTAAGGATAGTTGATGTTCGCTCACTCCGCTCCATCTCCTGTCCTCTTTACTGGTATATTTATGAGCCATACCTAACAAATCTCCACCTTGGCGAATATCCTGCCTCTTGAAAATTCAATGTGGGTTGGGTTACCTTGATTCTTTAACAACTCGAAACATTCAACAAGTCCAAGCAATGCTTGAACTTGTCTGTCGTAACTGGCTTAGTGAACATATCAGCGGCATTTTCATCAGTATGTACCTTCTGAAACAAAACCTCTCCAGATGCAACCAACTCTCTGATCTTGTGGAACCTTACATCAATATGTTTAGTTCTAGCACGATACACCTGATTCTTAGCCAAGTGAATAGCACTTTGATTATCACAAAGCAACTGAACTCCACATTGTTGAACACCCAACTCCTTCACTAAACCAGTAAGCCATAAAGCTTCTTTTGCAGCTTCAGCCGCTGCCATGTACTCAGCTTCAGTTGTAGATAGAGCCACAATAGATTGAACAGTAGACTTCCAACAAATAGGCCCTCCACCAAGAGTAAAGACATACCTTGTCGTAGATCTTCTATTATCCAAGTCACCTGCATAGTCTGAATCCACATATCCTACAACCAAAGGATTATCCCGCTGACTCCAAAAACAATTCCATGTCCCACAGTACCCTTTAAGTACCGAAAGATCCACTTGACTGCTTCCCAATGTTGCTTACCAGGTTTAGACATGTACTTACAAACTTGACTAACAACATGAGCTAAATCAGGACGAGTACATACCATCGCATACATCAAGCAGCCAACAGCATTAGAATACGGAACCTTTGCCATATCTTCAGCTTCCTTATCTGTCTTGGGGCACTGTTCTGATGAGAGCTTAAAGTGATTCGCCAATGGAGTGCTAACTGGTTTTGCGCTGCTCATCGCAAACCTTTCTAGCATTTTCTCAACATAACCCCGTTGAGATAGCCGCAGTTTCCTTGAGTCTCTGTCCCTGCAAATTTCCATTCCAAGAATTTTCTTTGCAGCACCTAAATCTTTCATATCAAATTCCTGACTCAATAAAGTTTTCAAACCGATAACATCATCCATGTTCTTCGCAGCAATCAACATATCATCAACATACAGTAATAGAAAAATAAAAGAACCATCATCAAGGCTCTTAACATAGACACAACAATCATACTCACATCGGTTGTAGCCAATCTTGATCATATAGGAGTCAAACCATTTGTACCACTGTCTCGGAGACTGTTTCAACACGTACAAAGATTTCTTCAATCTGCAAACTAAATGCTCGTTTCCAGGTTGAGTGAAACCTTCAGGTTGCCGCATGTAGATCTGCTCCTCTAAATCACCATGCAAAAAAGCAGTTTTAACATCCATCTGCTCTAAATGCAAATCCCAACTAACCACCAATGCAAGTACTGCTCGGATTGAAGTGTGCCTGACCACAGGAGAAAAGATTTCATCATAATCAACTCCTTTCTGCTGTGAAAAACCCTTCACTACCAAACGAGCCTTGAACTTCTCCCCCTCTTTTTCTGTTACTACTGGTTTCTTCTTATACACCCATTTGCAACCAATCGGCTTCTTACCCTCAGGAAGGGGAACTAACTCCCATGTGCGATTGTGATTCAAAGACTCCATCTCCTCAACCATGGCTGCCATCCACTTGTCGTTTTCCTGACTAGTAACGGCATCATGAAAGTAACCGGATCATCACTGCTAACAATAAGTGCAAAAGATACCAAGTCTTCAAAACCCAATCTGTTCGGAGGCTTTATATTCGTCCGTCTCACCCTGTCTGGCGAGACTATAATCCTGCAAATCATCCGTAGTGGAACCACCAGAAGTCGGTTGAGAAGTTTCTGGTTTCTCAACTGGAAACTGCTCGAAATCCACCACTGTCGTGTCTTGCTTCTGCTGCAACATGGATTGTTCATCAAAAACGACATCTCTACTAATCACAACTTTCTTCGCAACTGGATCCCAGAACTTGAATCCTTTGACACCTTTCTTGTAACCCAGAAAAATGCACTCCTTCGATTTTGCATCAAGTTTGGATCTCTCATCAGCAGGTACATGCACATAAGCAGGACAACCAAAAATCCGTAAGTTATCAAAACTAACATCATGACCAGTCCATACCTCTTCTGCAACTTTCCCAGCCAGCGATGCCCTTGGCGATCTGTTGATAAGGTAACACGCCATGTTAACAGTCTCAGCCCAGAAGTGTTTGGGAAGCCCCGCATTCAACCACAAACATTTGGCTCTTTCATTCAACGACCTGTTCATTCGTTCCGCAACACCATTCTGTTGTGGTGTCTTGCGCACTGTAAAATGCCTCTGAATCCCATGCTCCTTACATAATTGTAGGAACTGTGAATCTGTGTACTCCGTACCATTGTCAGACCGCAAACACTTGATTTTTCGTCCTGTTTGGTTTTCTACCTCAGCTTTCCACAGCTTGAACTTCTCAAAAACTTCAGATTTCTGTTTCAAAAAATACATCCAAACTTTCCGTGAAAAATCATCAATAAAAGTAACATAGTACCTAGATCCACCCAAAGACGATGTCGTGGAAGGCCCCCATACATCAGAATGCACATAATCAAGAATCCCTTGAGTTGTGTGCTTCGCAGTCTTGAAACGGACTTTAGTCTGTTTACCAAGAACACAATACTTGCAAAAGTCGAGCTTACAGCTTTTGACACCATGCAACAAGTTTCTCTTGTGTAATTCTGCCATACCACGTTCACTAAGATGAGCAAGGCGCATATGCCACAATTTTGTCGTATCATCACAGGACTCAACAGAGTGAACTCCACCTGCAACGATACTCCCTAACAATCTGTAGATATTCCCTGCAGTCATCTTGCCTTTCATCACAGTCAATGCTCCCTTAACAATCCGAATGGTTTCCCTATCCTCGTCAGCCTTAGGGATAAAACCATTCTTGTGCAAAGTGCCCAAGGAAATCAAATTCTTCTTCAAGTCTGGGATATGTCGAACACCACTCAACGTCCGAACGGAGCCATCGTGCATCTTAATTCTGACATCACCAATACCAACAATATTGCAACATAGATCATCACCCAAATAAACCGAACCAGAATTAACCGGCCTGTATGTCGAAAACCATTCCCTATTTGGCGTGATGTGATAAGAACATCCAGAATCAAGAATCCAAGCATCCGTCAATTGTGTCGTTGAAATAGAAAGCATATCACCCTCACTGCAATCAGAATTATCATCCTCGACCACGTTCACAGACTTGGATGAGCCATCACGCTTCTCATCAGTCTGCTTTTTCAACTTCGGACAGTCTCGCTTCATATGTCCCGCCTCCTTGCACTTGTAACAGTGAATCGTCTTCTTATCCCTGGATTTGGATCTGGAATTCCGCTTCCCGGACCCTGCCTTCTCTGGCTTCCGTCCACGATCTCGATTACCCTTGACATATAAGCTATCGGCTTGAGAGCTTTCCCATGCATTCTGCTTCCGCTGGTTGTGAGCCAACAAGGCTGCAGTAATCTCCTCAACATTGATAGTTTCTTTCCCATATGTAAGAGTAGTCACCATGTGTTCGTAAGAGGGAGGCAACGAACACAACAGAATCATCGCTCTGTCTTCATCCTCAATTTTCACATCAAGCCGAGCCAGATCAGAAATGATTTGATTGAAGACATTCACGTGTTGCGCCAAATCGTGATCGTCCTGCATCTTCAGCCCATACAGCCGCTGCTTCAGATACAGTTTTGTCGTTAAGGATTTGGACATAAACTGACTTTCCAACTTCCTCCAAATTTCGTCTGGAGACGATAGATGCATGACGTGATACATGACCTCGTCCGCCAAGCATAATCGTATGGTTCCTGCCGCTCGCTGCTGCAATTCTTCCCAATCTTCCTCATCCATCGACGCCGGCTTTGTAGATCGCAAAGCCTTCAAGATCCCTTGCTGCGCCAATAGATCCTTCACCCTCGTTTGCCATAATCCGAAGTTACCCTGACCATCGAATTTCGCGACTTCGAATTTTGCTCCTGACATTTGTTGACGAAAACGGGTAAAGAAAACAAAAGAACACGAGAATTTTACGAGGTTCGGCAATGTGCTTACGTCCTCGGTGCCTAGGCGGCGCTAGAAGTTTTTATTCAATGATTGAATTTTAGGTCTAGGTTACATCTCTATTTATAATAGAAAACCCTGGTACATAATTACAAAATTAACCCTGTACCGTACCGCGGGGGCTGCGCCCCCGCACATTCAACCCAAATAATTCGTAACCCCACAACGAGACTTTCTTTGTAAGGACAGTTGATGTTCGCTGCGTTCGCTTCGCTCACTCCGCTCCATCTCCTGTCCTCTTTACTGGTATATTTATGAGCCATACCTAACATAACGCCACTGAGTTCATTATAATACAACTTCAAACTTAGCAGGCTGCTGCATTTGCCTATACTAGAAGGGATTTCGCTATTAAAACCGTTGAAGCTTAAATCCATGAGCCTCAAACGATGCAGTTGTCCCAATTCTCGAGGCATATGACCATAAAAACTGTTGCCGCTAAGATCAAGAGATACCAAAAATGAAAGGTTTCCAAGGTGAGGAGGGATTACGGCCGTGAGATTCATATCCGGAAGATTCAAAGCAACAACTCTTTCATGGATGACACCACATGAAACACCAGACCAGTTACAGACAGAGCTGGAGATGGTCCAATTGCTGGCCAAGACGCTTTCAGGATCGATTATCCGATGTTTGAACTCGAGAAGTGCTGTAAGCCATAGCTGAGCAAACTATGGAACATTGTATGGACAAAACGGAAAGAAGATGAAAGCAAATCATATAGTTCATGAGTTCAATGAGTACTTGAACTGGTAAAGTACTCGGATAACATGCAAGTCTCACTCTTCCACAGTTGCCATCGCCTTTCCACAATGCATTTTACCACGTGATTTGTTTATGCTTTCGACTAGGGAAAGCAAAATTTGACTTACTCAAATTAATTTTGTATTATAATTTCATAAACTCGACCCACCTAAAAAAATTCAAGTTTAAATCGAGTTGTAAAATACAGATGACCACTTTTTAGTGTATAAATACAAACGCCTAGATAAGAATTTCATTATCTTTTAAATAAATCACATTAAAATTTTGATTCTATATTAGATATAATCGAGATTTATATAATTATTAGATAATATTCGATAAATAAATTAAAAAAAAACAGGAATATTTCCATATGGGTAACACATACTATTTTTCTAACTACTTTTCGATTCACTCCTCTCACCTACCACGGACGGACTACAAGTAAAGTGTAGGAACATATATTCCCATATCCTTATATTGAACCTTTAGGGTGCCCATAGGTTAATGAGCAAAGAAGCAAAAGAAAATTCCTTGAAAGGTAGCCAGCTCTTGAGAGGATATCCCACAGCATAACCCCTCAAGCATATGCTCTTCTTGTATGGGGTTATTCCCTCTATGCACCTATGGGAATGCTCATAAATCTCCAGATCAAAGACGATTGGACTGCAATAAGATGGAACTTAATCAATAAGCAAACCAGTCAAAGGGCACCTCTACTTGACAGGAAGCTAAACGATTGATCACAGAAACTGACTTGCCAAAGGAGAGTTGCCCTGTGACTAATTCAGCTTAACGCCACATGCTTCGTTTCTGCAGATCATTGATCCTACAGGTATGAGTTTTGGTTGCAGTCAAAAGCTCTTAGGAAATGCATTTTCTTAGAGAATTAATGTGAACACGTGCATGCTGATGTCTAAAAACAAGCATGCAGCTCTTAGATCGTCAGCTTTGCCTTGGATTACAGTATATTGATCAGTTTAGTTCTGAGCAGTGGTGAACAGGTTGAAAAGAACTGATGGTGTTGCTAATAATGAACTGGTTGAAACTAGAAAGCTTGAACACCATAACATTGATGACAAGTGCCACCCCAAAAAGTTCAAAGATGAAAAGGTTTGATTTTAACGAATGAAATTGTCTAGAGATCTCATGTTATGATTAGGGAAATTTGCAAAATCATTCTACTTTTCCATTTTTGCACTATTTAGTTCCATTTTTTGTCTTTCTTATCAATGCGAAAGGAATATAATAGTGTTTTCGGTTTTACTTTTCTTTCTCTAAAAATATTTAAAAATTCTTCAACTTTATTCCATATGAAAATCATGTCAAAGTACAGTAATCATATTTCTGCTGTACCCTTTGTGTACCACAAAGAAATGCAGTAAAAAATGTCTTATTGCCGCTTGATCTCTGAGCCTCAATTCACCACTCGGCAATTCAACCTCACTTCTCCATCTTCCATCACCCCTACATTTCCAAGTTTCACCATTGATGCAGCAAATTCACGGAAGAACAAGCTTTGATCATTGGCAAACGATTCAACAAACCATCTAGTCCTGTAGTCACTGAACAGTGCTTGATCAGACCCGAACACACCTTTCCTTGCCACTACTTGTTTGTAGTAGTTATTATCAAAAGTTGATGCCGTAGAGTCCAGGAACTGTCCTGCATTTCGATCCGTATTCGGCTTCGGGCATTGCTTCCTCAGAGTTTTTGCAAATACAGGGTCCATACTGGGATCGACGTCGTGAGCCGAGCTGAAATACGAAGCCGAGCTTCGAACGAAGAGCAGTGTGAGAATCCGAGGGTGTGACCACCGGATAGAGCCACCAGATCTTTAACCCCTAAACCTCTCTTGGAAAAGCTTTGAATGAGTGTTGAAACATTGAAAGTTGGTGCCGGTAAGTTTATAGTTTCGGAAGCTTTGGAAACTCTTCCATCTTTCCTTCCTTTAAGTACATTCCAGTAAGGCCCTCCAGACTGAAGCAATTAAAACAATTCAAAAACTCTATGTTTTGTACAATTTATATCAGATCAATTAAGGGTTTTCAAAGTGTACCATTGCCACTACATCTCTTGCTGCTACGGTGATTATATCGGCGCAGGAAACCGTCGCCGGACACGTTGACTCGAGCTTGGTCTTCGCATCGTCGATAACGTAGAATGCTCGGAGAGAGATATTGGGAGGGCCGTCTTTCTCGGCTTGGTTTTGTGGAGTAGAGTCTAGCAACACCGATGCATCGCATCCCTGTTGAATCAACAGAAAGGAGAGCTTTAGAGTTTAGACACCCAAGAAAGTTTCAAGAAAGCATATTGACAATGGTATACCCTTATGAAACAGTCATGGAAGAACATCCTGAGAATTCGAGCAGGGACTTTAGTATCGAACATGGAAGCGTTCCGTACGGTGTCTTGTATGATTTTCTCAGCTTGGGGACATGTTCGATCGTAATATGAGCATCCAACGCCGCTTTTGAACGTGGAACCGCCATTACAAGGAAAATCAACAAAAGAGAGAGCTTGCTCGGTGAAAAGATAGCCATTTGGGATTTAGAAACTTTACAAGTAGACGAGGAAAATGATTAGAAAATGGGACGATATATAGTTGCCATGACAAGCGAAATGTTGAATGAATTTTAGTAGAATATTAAACTGATTCTCTATGCTTTTAAGTCACTCAAAATTGGGATCAGAATGTGGAAAATTAACTCGGTGTTGGTGTTGGTGTTGGTATTGGTGTACTTTGAGACCAAGTTTATATTTGTACCAACTGATGAACTCTTAAGCCTTACTGGATTGCGTACTTTTTTTGACAATTCTTTACGTACCGATAAGGATGAGTCAAAAAAGCTTCGCTACTGTTGGGATATATCTATCAGGTTGGTTAATCACATTGGAGCATGGTACAAATTAAAGCATTACATAATTTTTGTACAGGGATTGGTGAAGTGGTAAGTATCTGATATAGTCTAACAAGTCTCGAGTTCGAGTTCTTGTGAAGGCAGAAAAACTTCGTTGGAAGACTCACTCGCCAAATTAAATGTGCGATCCAGGTTAATTCGAGAGGGGAAAAATACATAATTTCTGTACTTTCCATTGTTGTACTGTTTGGCTTCTAAGAAAGCAATGAAAATGGGAAAGGATTTTGAAACGTTGACCATAAAATGTTGGATTTGGATTGCTTTTGCTCTTAATGCAAGCTAAGTTAACGCATTTAGGTGGAATAAAAGGAATATTAATTGAGTTCATATTTGATACACATGATGAATGTTTTTCCATTTAAGTCCAAGGCTCATCTTGATTAATCTGGATCGATTCGGATTGTACACCAAATTTTTGGTGGATAAGTCTCTCAACGGGAATTTCTGCATACATAATGACTCGAACCTGAAATTTTACTTAAGTGAATATCAAGTTGTTGATCACTTGAACTAATCCCGTTAATACACAATAAATAATTTTATAATATATATTCATTGATAAAATTTACAATATCAAATCATTAAAAATAAAATAGTAAATACAGTAATAAAATATATTGCCAATGATATTATTAAAAAGGATAACCATAAATTTTGAAAGGATTAACCTTAATGAATAGTAAATTAGACATGAAGACTTTTTTATTCCATCATAAAATAATGATGTATTTAATTTACAAATGATGCATAAAAATAGTTAATTGCATCACATGTCATCAAAGTATGACCCTCGTTTTAAATTGGTGTCTAAACTTTTAAATGTTCCAAATTTATCTCTAAACTATGAATATCATTCTAAATTAATCTTCAAACTTTGAATATTTCAATTTCATTCCCATACTATGACTTTCATTCTATTAGTCCCCAGACTTTTTAAGCAGTCCAATTTCATCCCAAACTATATGTATATACTAATTGCATCCCTTGTTAATAACATCACTAGACTAAGTTATATTAGTATGTGTTTGAAAAAACAAAATTTAGGTTAAATTATGGTTGAAATTAATTAAATATTTGGATCAATTTGGGGATGCAATCAGAATTTTTCTAAAGTTTTGGGATTAATTTAGAAAGAGATGTATAGTTTAGGGATGAAATTAGAATGTTTAAAAGTTTAAGGACTAATTTAGAATGAGAGTCATAGTTTAAGAATGAAAATGAAACATTTAAAAGTTTATAGATCAAATTAAAATAAAAGTTATAATTTGGGGACATATGTTGCAACTAACTCTAAAAAATAGAAAGGCAAAAAGGCATAATAGATCCATGCACTTTAAAAATCCAACATGATCCTATTATTTTCTTTCTCAACGTAGCCTTCCAACTAAAAAAATAAACACATTGACACTTTGACCAACGTTTTTCGTTGTTGACCGTTACAGTGCTGATATGGCAGTTCACAGTGCTGACGTGGCAGTCCATAGTGTTGATAGCCTGATATAGCGATCCATGGTGCTGAAGTGATAATCCACAGTAGTTGATAACGTGGTGGATAACATGACAGATGAATTAAATTGGTAACTAAAACATGACACCGTTAACTATCACGTCAGTACTGTGAATTACCACAATGATACCGTAATGGTCAACGATGAAAAACATTGGTCAAAAAGCCACATTGGGTTTGTTTTCTAAATTAGAGAGTCATGTTAAGAGAAAAAGTAATACGATGATCACATTAGTTTTTCTTAAAAGTACAAGTACTCCAATGCATTTTTGCCGAATAAAAACTATTTATTCTCTTTCCTTCACTCTCGTGCAGTCGTGCTGCTCTTCTAGTTTTTCTTTTCATCACCGATGACAACATTGATCTTAGGTAGGGATGTGCATAGGTCAGGTCGGGTTAAATTTTTGATCCATCGGATTTGATTCAAAAATTATAAATCTTTCATCCGACCTGAATTTGACCCGTAAAATATATATCTTTCACCTGACTTATTTTTTGAGATAAAATATGAACCCCGTCCGACTCGACCCGAAATATTATATTTATTAAAAACATTATTTTTATTCAATAAAAATAAGGATTTAATTGGAAAAAATAATATCGAAGATGTATTATTACAATTATCCCTAAATATATAAGGTTAAATATAATTTTTTCGGGTTGAATCGAGTATTTTTCATCATAAATCCAAACTTATCCGATTCAAACCCAACTTTTTTATAAATCAAACTCAATCAAGTCAGAATTAATCGGGTTAGAGTCCGTCCAAATCTTAGGTTATCAATTGTTGATTTTTTTCTTTTCTTTATTCTCTTCTTCTATTTGAGTTGTATTTTTTGTTTATTTCATCCCTTTTCGTATGAAAATGGCATATAATTTTGCATGCTCTTGTAATACTCATTTTCTATTTTTTTTCCTTCTTAAAATTAGATTGATACAATTAAAAATAAAGAAATTTGATAATATCTTTCTAAATAACGTTATTTGGTTATCCTCTTGACATATCATTGAACTCTCGAACTTAATATTAATAAATGCTTGTAATCCTTAAAAAACATTATAATTAATAACTATAATACAGAGATATTCATGGATGGTTAACCGTACCGTTTAACCTAAACAATCAGTTAACATTATAACGGCTATAAGATATTTCTAATCGTAACCTAACATTAAGAATGGTTAACCGCTAATAGTTAATCGTTATTAACGGTTCGATTACAGGTTAACCTATTACAGTTATTTTTCAATTTTTTTCATAATTCATACTAGAAAAAAATGTAGCACTTAACACATGCTTACACCAATGTAAGTGAGTAAAATAAAAAAGTATAGCACTTAACATACTTACACCTGTGTAAGTTAATAAAACAAAAAAAATGTAGTACTTAACACATACAACACCGGTGTAAGTGAAAAAAATAAAAAAGTGTAGCACTTAACACATACTACACAGGTGTAAGTGAATAAATAAAAAAGTGTAACACTTAACACATACTTACAACGGTGTAAGTAATAAAATAAAAAATATATAGCACTTAACACATACTTATATCGATGTAAGTGTAATCTATATTTTCAAGAGTATAATAATAAATATTATATATTAAGTATTTATTTAAAGAATAAAAAAATTAAAAATAAATAAATAAATATATATATATATATATATATTAAGTTATTTATGTAAAAATATAATAAATTACAAATATAATTACAAATATAATTTATTAACGGTTAACCGTTTATCAAAATTCGTAACCAAAACCTTAATCGTTAATCATCATTTTTAGCGGTTCAATTAATTGAAATCATTTAGTATTAACGGTTCGATTAATTAAACTGTTAAATATAACGGTTATACAGGTTAACGGTTTCGGGAGTTTTGAACACCTCTATATAATATCTTATTTACAAACCATTATTATTGTATTTATTTTAAAATTGAGAACACAAGTACTTTTACCCATATAAATCCATATCATGTCATTATTGATATGAAAAATGCAAAATGTGGACCATTGAAGCTTTTGGGCATTGAACCAAGACCATCTTTTCTTAAGGTGCCAGTTGGGCTCCATAACACCAAAACAACTTAACCCCAGTTTATGTGCGGCTTTGGTAAAGGAATAAAAGGGATTTTTTTCCCTGTTAGGCCAGGAAGGATGATTATTTAGCCCAATACAGTACAAAGAAAATTATTTAGGGAATTACAACATTTGTTACAATGTACCAAGAATTCATCACATCGATATGGCGAGTTTTATGAGAAAATATATTTAATGAACCTAGACATTGGATCCAATATTTTATCATTTTTTTTGAAACTCGTCATGTTGAGGTGACGAGTTCCATTTGGTTTAAAAAACTAGTCGTTTATAGCAGTTTGGTAATGATCATATTTTAAATAATGACATAAATTTTTCAGTGTCCAATCACTTCATTTTTGAACTTTTTAGTGATATATCACATCAATTCAATGGCATACCAAACCTTATCATAATAATTCAAAACATCTTTGTTCTTTTTAGTGATATGTCACCTCATTTATGAACTTGTTGACCAAATTTAATAATTCATCATACCCTATAATAATTATTTCATCATAAAATTTCAGTGTTATATATAACCCTGCCTATGCGTGACACAAAATTTTATTGTTTAAGTTCATATTTTGAAAATTTTCATGGCAACAATTTCAACAACAATTCATTGTGAGGGGAAATCTTGCATCATCTCTTTCGAGAGAGACATTCGACTTTTCAACTTGATGACGGAAATTTCAAACAAGATTGGAGCTATGGAATTTCAACACTTTCTTTACTACAGTTCAGGTTTCCAACCTCTTTGGTTCCACAACATTCATCAATGGGCTATTGAACAATGATGCTACAATTCGAACAATGATTGACACATACATTACCAATTCGATGAGTAATGTTGACTTATTTTCGAGTATCACAAGCAGCCCACAACTCCTTCCACATCAAAAACAATATCTCTAGATGTATCTGACAATATAGAAGTTAAACTTCAAAAACTTGAACTATTTATATAGAAGGAAACAAGAGAAAGAATGAAGGATTGAAGAAATTAACATCTGATGAGTCAACTGACTATGCAGACTAAGATGTATGGGTAACCACTTAACGCTTCTATTATATTGTAATGTAGGAGTTAATGTTTCTAATGTAATGTAATGTATGAGTTAATGCTTCGAATGTAAATTTTAATACTTTGTATTTAATAAAAGTATCAATATGACCATTGGAACTCGTCACGTCAGCATGGCGAGTTCTATGATTTTTTTTTCTCAAAAAATTATTTTGAAAAACAAAATCTCTAAAATAAAAAATTAATTTTTTAATGAAACTCATCACGTCGACATAACGAGTTCTAAGAAATATAACAAAATATTGGATCCAACGTCTGGGTCCATTAAAATATAGACGAGTTCCAGAAACACTATAACAATGTCGTAATCCCTAAATAAATAGCTTTATGTCGTGTTGGACTAAATAAAAATCCCGAATGCCATATTGGCCCAATTTTACCGGAATAAAAGCATGTTTGAATAAGAGAACTAAGGGGCAATAAGCTTATGTGACTAGTTCAACATGCCGTGACAAAGTATCTTACTAAAAACAATTATAGATCTTGGACATGAACCGTCAAATCAAACCTTACACAAGGACCAATTATTGTGAATTTAAAATCTCCCTTCTACCCTACATTAGAATAACAATTATTTGATTGATTTCATTAGACAAAGGAAAGCCCTGCTCATTTCATTTTCACCCTTTTGGCAGTATAACCTTCAATCATTTTACACATAAGAATCAAGACAAATGTTGGGGTTGGCATTTGAGCCCATCCCATCCCCACCGCTCCTTGTCACATTTTGGTATTTCAGACCACACAACAAAACACTGCACATGCCAACTAAACCGACGCTCGCCACCAAGAGATAAGATAGACAGAGAAAGAGTGTGGGGGAGGGGAGCCAATAATAAAACATGGTTAAGTGTACGATGATCGATGCATAAGCCATGATGTTTTGTGTGTATTATATGGTAAACCTGATCGGATGCATATGCTAATGGCACTCGCTCAACGGTCTAATCCCAGCCCAGGGAATAATTATCAAGTATTTTTTGCATATCGTGTTGTGCCCCGCGAAACAGGACCACTTTGAATTTTTGAAACAAACAGCAACAAAACAATATTGAATTTGGAATTCAGAGCTAGTCAGTCAGTCCTAAGGAATATTGTGTAGCCGGAATCTGCCAAGTTTTGGGTTAATACTGAATCTCCCATGCAATCTACACCACCTCACCTGCCCTATATATTTTAAATTTGGGTAACTTACGCGTTTAGTACCTAAACGGTCAGTTTTAGACCGCTTTAGTAGCTAGATTTTTAATTTTTTTCAAAACTATACCTAAAGTTCAGTTTTTATCTCATTTTAGTACCCGTTTAAAATTTAAAGTTAAGTTTTGAAGAAAAAAATTGAAAGTGTGGGTATTAAAACGGACCAAAATTGATAGTTTAGGTACTAAACACGTTAAGTATTAACGGCAAGGTACTAAAATGAAACAAAAACTAAATACTAAGTATGATTTGAAAAAAATTGTAAGTTTAGGTACTATAATGGACCAATATTGATAGTTTAGGTACTAAACGCTTTAAGTCTTTAACGGCGAGGTACTAAAATGAAATAAAAACTAAATGCTAAGTATGATTTTGAAAAAAATTGAAAGTTTAGGTACTATAATAGATCAAAATTGATAGTTTATGTACTAAACTCGTAGTTTACCCTTTAAATTTCAAATTTTTCAAAACCACCAGTTTAGTTTTTGTTTCATTTAGTGCTCTGATCAAAATTTAACGTTAAGTTTTGGGGGGAAAATGGAAGTATAGGTATAAAATGGATCAAAATTGATAGTTTAGGTACTGAACGCGTTAATTTTTTAACGGCGGAGTACTAAAATGAAATAAAAATTGAACGCTAAGTATAATTTAAAAAAATAAAAGTTTAGATATTAAAACGGGTCAAAACTGATATTTTAGGTACTAAATGCGTAGTTTACCCTTTACATTTTGTTGCCTACATTTATCAAAACTAATATTTTCATGGATCATTAGCATCACCTCAACATAAGATCATTTGTATCCACCATATATTTATATTCTTCTTTTGATTTTAATTCTTTATAAATGGATCCTATTATAAAACTCGGAGACAGACGTAATATTTTATGTTAAGAAGACGAACTTTAGCTTAAAAAATTTTAAGGGCGAATACAATTTTAAGAGACAAAAATAAAATTTTAATAAAAATATAAAAAAAAAACTTAAAATATATAATAATTTTATATTTTTAGGGAGACGACCGCCTCACAAGTCATCATATAAATTGTTCAAATCAAGTTAGATGAATCATAACCTAACACGTGACAAATAGAATAATCAAACTATGACATGACATATGTTTGGTATCAATCAAAGATTAGTGACGAAAAAGATTATCAGTGAGAATAAAAGATTACTAGTGAATAGGATTACTGTGAATGTTGTATTTTGTGTTTGGTTGGTTAGCAGGAATGTAAGATTAAGTGTTTGGTTAAAGGAATAAAAGATTATTGGAATGTATATTGACTGAAATTGTTCTTATATATTGTATAATATTACAAATTGTAAAATATTTATATATTTTCTTTAAAAAAATTAAATTCATAATATTTATATATTTTTTTACAAAATTAAAAATAAAAAAGGTTTAATGAAAGGGTAAAAAATTTTTTAACCCCTGAAATTCATATAAAATTTTAATTATAGATTTTTTTTGTAAATCTAAAATAATTTAAGGATAAATTTGTAATTTAACCATTCGTAGAATTTTTATTATTCAATAACAGAAGAAGGATATTTTTGAAAAAAAAATAAAAATTTAAGGGCATTTTAGTCCAAAATGCCGGTAATGTTACAATACCTAAGGGAAGGGAGGTAATGACATTCCCGATAATATACCCCAAAAAATCTACTATTGATAATAAAACATTACCGGGAATGAGATTCCCGGCCAACCAAACATGGAAATGTGTGATTCCCATCTCATGGGAATCCCACAATCCTTGAACCAAACACCCCCTAAGGGGGCTTTTGGATGGGGAATGTAGGATTCCCCGGGAATGGAATCCACATTCCTCCGTTTGGTTGGTCGGGAATGTCGTTCTCGGTAATATTTATTACCAATAGTGAATTTTTTGAGGTATATTACCGGGAATGACATTACCTCCCTTCCCTTAGGTATTGTAACATTACCGGTGTTTTGGACTAAAATGCCCTAATTTTTTTTCAAAAATATCATTCTTCTATCATTGAATAATAAAAATTCTACGAATGTTAAATTATAAATTTATCCTTAAACTATTTTAGATTTACAAAAAAAGTTTATAATTAAATTTTAATATGAAGTTCAGGGGTTAAAATAAAATTTTACCCTTTCATTAAACATTTTTTATATTTTTAATTTTGTAAAAAAATTATATAAATTTTATGAATTTAAATTTTTTAAAGAAAATATATAAATATTTTTCAACTTGTAATATTATACAAATATATAATAAGAGTAATTTAGTCGAATATACATTCCAATAATCTTTTATTCCTTTAACCAAACACGGTTATCTTACATTCATGCTAAACCAACCAAACACAAAATACAACATTACCAGTAATCCTATTATCTGGTAATCTTTTATTCTCACTGATAATCTTACATTCCGTGAACCAAACACACCCTAAAGAATTAACAAAACAATAGACAGCTTAATTAAATAAGTGTATTAATTGTAGCATTTGACTTTCTTTATATACATATATAATCTCATCTGCATTTTGAATTTCCCGCTCAATGCTTAACATTTGTATTGTTCCTTTTAATATAATTATATGTATTTACCAATGGGTTGGTTCAAGTGATCAGTAATTTGATATCGTTTAAGTAAGTCTCGAGTTAAAGTCTTTGTGTATGTAAAAAATCATCGTCGAGAGACTCACTCACTAAAACTAGGTGTGCAACTTGGATCAGTTCGGGATAATCAAAACAAAATCTTAAGAACCGGTATTTAATTTATTTATTAATTTATTTAAATCGAATATCATACAGATTTATTATCCGTATTTGAATTTCCTGCACGCATGTTTCAACTTTGGCTCTAAAAATAGTAAAATCATGCGTACGTAACATGAACTTTCTCATCAAATTTCAATAAACGGAGAACCAAACTTAATCTAATCTATGAATGGAATAATAATTTTCTTTAAGATTTTTCGGGTCTGATAATCAGTGGCGGGTCATGACTATTTCTTAGGGTAGGCAGGCACATATTAATTATTTAAATTTTTTTGTATGAGATTAATAAATAAAATTTTAATGTGGACATCCATAGTAACATGAATAATTAATATAAAAAAATCTGAATAATTATTATCCGTCATTCTTGATAGACAATCTGTAAATTCATATGTTAATCTTAATTGGCTTCTAGATATGTCCTGACCCTGGACTGAGGAGCCACGTGACCTGAACTTTTATGTACCAAAAAGAAATCTTCGACATAACACATTATATAAAAAAAATCTCAAATATTGATTTTATATGACGCAAAATCAATGCATTGAAAGAACTCATAGCTGTGAAAGTATATATTACATCGAGAAGTGATTCCAACATTGAAGAACCTAAATTTTCTAACTAATTTCAAGACACTAAAAAAAAGAATAAAGTACTTGTAATTTTAAAAGATACCTTATTGCCATTTATATATACAAAATTACCCTATATAACTTATTGTCATTTTCACCCACGTGTATAGTCCCACGAAGACCCCAACGAATAGCATCTCATCACGTGAATGACCCATGTGATTCTAAAAGGCGACCCCACAATGTCTCAAACACCGTTGCCGTTTCATGTACCAGCGCCTCCAATATGCCCTTCTCGACCTCCGATACAATCCTTCCCCTTCCTCCTCGTACGCCACCGAACTTCGGAGCTTCACTATCGGCAAGTCCTTGTCGATCAAGGCGTCGATGTCTTCAAGAACACGACAATCGGCTCGAGGGAACCCTTTGATTTTTGAACACAATGTGTCTGTCAGTTGAGAGCTGTTAATGTTACTAAAACATTCACGTCCAAGTCTACTTTTAACCCATGGCTTCGTATTGAAAAAAGGTTTTAAAAATTCAGTCAATATCTCATCGGTGAGATGGAAGAGTAATTTTCGATTGCATCGGAGGTTCAGTTGAGTGGAACTGGTTTTTTTATACAGGAGGTGAAATGTTCGAGGTAGTAAAAATGGAAGGGTTAAGAGGATGGGAAGGAGAGAACCAAGAAGCCAAGGACAGTGGGGTGTCTTTTTCTAGCCCTGTACGTTTTAGTATTCTAGCGATGTACTCATTATATTCTGCTGCTGCTGCTTCACCGGTTGTGGTGCCACTGCTAGTAGTAGTGGTAGTAGCACCGTTACATCTGTTGCCGATGTGGTCGTGTCGGGGAACGTGTACGTACGTCGCTTCTTGTTTGTTGTACGTCTGGCTCGAACAACTAGATAACTGTGAGCCACGTTTCGGTTTTCCAGCATCTGAGACCTGTAACGCATCCAAACAGTAAGCTGATAAAGTTGAAATAAAAAAATAAAACCAAATCCCATTTTTTTCCTTGTTGAATACCTGTTTTTGAGTGATTTTTGTGGCCGGAGGAGAAGGGTCTTTTTTGACCGGAAAAAGGGTAGGGACGGTGATGTTGAGTAGATCATTTGACAATGGAATTTTCTTGCATTTCTTTTCGGGAATGTGGATTCTGTTGGCTGTTGAAGGACGAACGAAAGGTTCTTCTTGCTTGTTTCGGATAATGTCCGATGTATGTCGAGGCTTTTCCGCTTTCTTCCATTTGCTTGTGGTGGCTCTTGGCGGTTGCAGGTTTTGCTGCTCATTGGGCTTTTGCAGAACTCTAGTGGTTGGCTGAGGCTGGATATTGATCTCTGATGCTGATGATGATTTTGGAGGTTGAGGATTGTGATCTTTAGTTTTGGTTTCCGAGAACCGAAGCCTGGGTGAACACGATGGTGTTGTTGTTGAGTGGCTTGAATCTTCAGCTAATTTGTTCATGGCCCTGGAAATCTTCTTCGTCTTGAATTGGCTAACAAGCTCTTCTCTAGTTTGTTCTCTGTTCCGAACCCTGTTGGTAATGTCCATTCCAACTTTCCCGCTCACACTTTCTTTAACCTGCTTCACAATCTGCCTCGCGTAGTGGGCCGGACTCCTGTTCTCGTCTTCATGCTTCTGCTCTTTCCCTTTCAGTGCTTTCAAATGCGATATCATTAACTCTTCAGTTGCACTCATGTTCTCCTTGTTGATTTGAAGCGAAAGCCGGTGGTGAAGATCCACGTCCGACCTCCTCGAAAACGAGGACGATATCCTCGGAGTTTGAGGCAACGAACGAGTGACCCGAATATCACCATCCAATGACCTTCTATGGCTACTTATTGGCTTCAAATGTGATTTCGATGAAAAAGATGGTGAATGGCTTTCAGGAAGAATGTCAAGTCCCATGAGCCTAGCAACCAAAGTGGGTGTCTTGGTCCCTGGAGAGCTGCTGATCTCTGAAGATGCATCGTTATTTGAAACTCCAACTTTTGACCTATTGTCTCCCCTTGTTTTGATTTGAATTCCCATCTTGATTTTCACATAAACATTATCATTATCATCATGATTACTCACTTTTTAAAAAGAATACCACTTTGAAACAATGAAAACAAGGCCAGGAACCCAAAAGGATGAAATAAAATACCATTCTTACGGGGATGTTTAACTTCTCTTCTTTACTGGTTGATGTCAATGAAGCTGAAGTTGAACTTTCCTCATCTGATTCCAAACTGTTCCTTGGAGCCTCTGTACCTGCATTTCAGTGGAACATGTTGCACACTGATTAGCCATAAAGAAGTAAAAAAAAAAAAGAGATGACGAATGAAAGAATAAAAAAAGGAACCTTTGAGAGTAGCGGGGACGATGGTACTGTGAGGAGAGAAAAAAGAGTTAGTCTGCTTGAAACAATCACAACTGCTGCTGCTGCTGCTGTTACTTTGAGTTAAAGGGACATGGAAATCGAAGAACTGAAAGACGGCACTTATGCAACCAGTGGAAGTGGTGGTATCAGCCGATGCTGCTGCTCTCTTGGAGCTGCTGGTGGCTATGGATGCTTTAGCAGCTCCACTTCCCCAATACCAATCCCTTCCCATCTCCGACTCCACAAAGCAAAATGGGGTTCGTTCAATGGAAAGAGAAAATGATAGCTTTGAGACAGAAAGAGAGAGAGAGAGAGAGAGAGAGAGATGGAGAGTGGAGATAGAAAAGGTGTAATGAGTGTGTAGTTTGAAGGAAGAAAAGCTGGTGACAAGGTTCATTATTATATATATGAAGGCTGGTGTAGGAGCTAGAAAACCGGATCCATCACGCACACTAAAACGGCTACATTTCGACACGAACAAAAGAGCTTTCACTCTCAAAGCTCGATTTGCAATGTGATTCCACCCTACCTTGTATTTTGAATAGCAGGTTGTTTATTTTATTACTATCTGCAGGTGCAATGTGATCTAGCCATGCCCCTCAACTTATGATTATAATGACCTTTCAAGTTTTTAACCCCTTTCCAATTTCCTTTTCTACCATCTTATATGATGTTATTTTTTTAGAATGATTCTTTCAATCTAATTTATTCTACGAGGCCACTTGTGCTATATAGAAAAAGTGGCGCTTCTTGTAGAGTATATTAGATTCTGGATGGTAGCAAGGGAGGAGGCACACTGTCAATAGGTAGCAATAAATGGCAAAAGTGATACTCCAAAGCCTAGGGTTGACCCACCACCTGCCACAAAATTACCTATACAGTTCCTTTCAAGTCTTTCAGTTCATAAATGGCTTATTGATCTCTAAACCTACCTCACTTCAAACCCACAGTTCTTCCACAGTGATATGAGCAGGCAATCAAATTCAGCGCGATTAAATTCGGATTCGAGTCGAGTCAAATCTCGAAGTGTAGAGGCTTAATAGGGAACCAACACTAGCTACAGTTTTTCATAACATAAATACGCTCAACGACCTTATTAGTACCGCCTCTGGTCTCATCTTACAATGGCCTATTTAAGTGAAAGTTTTAATGGTAAAATCAGAATAGCCTGCGCCCATGCAATTATGTAACCGAAATCAATTCTCATAAAAGATCAGGCAGAAAGATTTCAGGGAAATGAACATTTTCCCCAGTAAAATTTTCTCTCCAACAGGACTGTTACATCATTAGCACACACCTTCATTCAGCCAGCCAACAACATGATTACATAACCAGAACATTCAAAATTTTGAAACTTCAAAACATATGTTATTGCAATCATCTAAATCCCATTTTCAGTAAAGGTTTATATATAAAAGAAAAACACTGTTAAATTTTATTGTTACATTCGAACTTATACAACACCTTTCGAGTAACAAAACTGGCCAAAATCAAAGCAAGTTGTTTCATGAGCAGCAACTCATGCTTAGAACTACGAAGAGTTCAACGGCAAGGACAAAGTATATCGATTAGTAGCATCTCCTTTCGTTTCTATGATGCATGATGTTTGGTTAAGGCATCATAAACTGCCTGTTTTGTGGGCAGTGCGGGAATCGCACCTCGCTCTGTTACCGTCAGGGCTCCGCAGGCATTTGCAAAGGCTAAGGCTTCTCTTAACCGCTTCTCGTCCTGTGAGAAAGATTAATTCGTATATATGTTTCTCATGAAACAATGGTGTTATAGCTTAGAACAGTGAACCTCGAATCCCCTGCTTTGAAGATCATTTACTCTAATTTATGTAAGAAATGTGGGTACCTGAAGCAGATTTAAATCAGAAGCTAGGCTGCTCAGTAAGCCACCAACAAAAGCATCGCCAGCACCAGTAGTATCAACAGCTTTAACTTTGATGCCAGGAACCTTCCCCTTGAAAGTCTGCGGTGGATACATGTCGATTGTTTATGCAAACCACATGTTAAGAATTATCGATGAAATTCTTAATAACCTTTGTTATCTTTTTTTCACAGACAAGATCAAGCTTACCTTGGTGTAATATCTACAACCTGCTGGCCCCTCCGTTACGATCAAAAGCTTAAGATTAGGATGAAAGAGGTTCTTCATCACCACATTATCATCGTAAGGGTCACCACCTTCGGTTAAGAAGGTAATCTCATCCTCGCTCACCTGCATTGTCATATATTAGCCTGCATTTTAATGGAGTAGTGAGATCCATTTACAAGTCTTGTAATCAAATTCATACCTTAATAAGGTCTGCGTGATCCCATATGCTCATTATTCCTTTACGAGCAGCCTCTGCTGATGACCACAGTGGCAATCTTAAATTTGGATCATAAGAGAGGATGCTGCCGGACTTCTTGGCAATGTTCATTGCTGCAAGTTGAGCAGACTTGCATGGTTCCTCAATCAAACTAATCGAACCAAAATGAAAGATCTTCGCCTGCAATCAAATATTGCTTGGATATCAGAATTCTAAATCCAGCCAAACCAACCTGTCTTTCACATCCACTAATTCAAACAAAGATGAGAAATGCACAAAAACAAAATAATAATAATAATAAAAAGAAACCTGCTTGATGAGGTTTATATCGAGTTCTGATTCATGAAGACGCATATCCGCACTTGGATGACGGAAAAACAAGAATTCTCGTTCACCATCAGCTCTGAGCGTAACGAATGCCAATGCGGTTCTTGCACTATGGTCAAACCGCATGCCGGAATTGTCCACATTGTTTTCTTTTAAAATGTTAGCTAACATGTGGCCAAATTCATCATCCCCTACCTGGTATGGGATCGCAAGGCGTCATGTACATTTCTAATCTCATGATCCGAATATATAATAATCTGATTTCACTATGAAGAAGTATAATTTCATTGCTATACATTTAGCGGATTTTGGACGACTGTTAAGAGTCTGCAGGTAAAAGAGTTGCCCTTTCTTATTTACAACAATAGAGTTTACCTTGCCTATGAAAGCCGATGTTCCTCCTAATCTAGATACGCAAACGGCCACATTAGCTGGAGCACCACCAGGAGCCTTCTTGAAAGCAGGTGCTTCAGCCAGAGAAACCCCTCCGACTGTTGGTACAAAGTCGATCAGAAATTCACCGAAGGAAACAACTAGTGAATTGTTGTTTGCAGACTTCCCGTTCGCATTGCCGAGAAGATCTTCACCTCCACCTACAATCCGTAGTTGCTCAAGCCAAAAAATAATCTAGACAACTATCTATATACCAATATGCCACTTCTAGTCCTATGCTAATCTGTTCATTTTAAATTAAAACATTACCTGCCTATGCATTTTGTCCAAAGAAACAGACATTTCTTCATTAACCAAAGCAATTAAATCCCACAGTAACAGACATTTCTTCGTAACTGAAAGAAAGATCGACCCCAAAGCAAGAAGTCTAGCATTACTCGTTAAACACACTTTCTACCAAACACCGTGTAGTAAAGATCAAATTTTCAATGCTCAGAAAGATCAAATTTTGTTCTTTTTTGTTCTAAACTACCTGACCTTACTGCATTTTTTTTTGGTAAACTACGAATTCTCATTTCTATCTAACAAACCAAATCGATATTCTCTTCATTTACTAATTACTCTAGAAGAAACCAATTATGTCAGAAAGCAAGACGCAGATTATGTTCAAAGATGAATACATTGAATCAAGAAAATCAAATATCAAAAGGACTATCAAGACACAAGTAAAAGAATCAAGAACAATGAGAGGAACCTGCAGTTAAATTCCCAGCCATTCTCGTTTTTGGAGAATCACAGAGCTTGAGTTTGAAGAAGCAAAGCAATGACCGCTAAAGATGGTGCTGGTTGTGTTTTCCCTGTACTTGAAACTGGAAAGAGAGAGAAGGAAACAGAAGCGTTTGTAGGAAGGTGACGGCCGCCAATCTTGATTTGGATTTGTTTTTGGAAAATAAAAAACAAAGCTTTGACAAATTTATTAAGCTAACCATCACAAGAATTACAATTAATTACAATTTTAAAAAAAATTAGGCTTAATACCCAAATGAGTGTTCAAACTATACCCAAATTTTTGAAATATATGTCTAAATTATTTTTTGATCCATTTACGTATCTAATGTTACAAACGTTATCATTTTAGGTTTCTAATGTTATAAACGTTACAAACTCGTTCAATGACACGTGACATAATATGATAATTTTAAAATTTTATTTAAAAAAACTAAAAATATATTTTATTTTCAAAAAAGCCTCATTTTTTAAATATAAAAAAAATCCAAACTCTTAAAATCTCTTATTCTAATCTCATTTATTCCAACCGCCGATCATCTCCAGCCACCCACTAATCGGTTAAAACTCTTAATATCATCTCAAAACCTAAAATTCTCAGTCCCTAAATTTGAATCCCTAGTCATTGAAATCACCAAATACTTAATCCCTTAAATTCATTCGATCTATTGGCCGTTTAACAGACTGTGAAAACCGGCTATTGGTCGACTGTTTAATCGGTCGTTTGGCCTTTGTCTATTTGGACGAAAGGAGAGAGAGGGGAGTGGGACGTGGAGAAGAAAATAGTTTGGATACTTATTTTAGTATTAAATATTGAGCCAATAAATTGCTACTTATTATAAAAAAAAATTGATTTTTTTTCCATATTGCTGGATTCGGACCACAGAAAAACATAAAACCAGCATTGTTGGGCTGCTGTGCGTCCCACGTGGCATGACCAATAATATTCAAGTGAAAAAGGACGTAATTAATTATTCAAATCTTAAAATTAATATATATTTTAATTTTTTTTATGTATTTTTTATTAAAATTATATATTCACCTCGTCTTAAATTCATATTCACTTCTTAAAATTTTAAAAGTTTAAGTTTACGCCTAATATAGGATTATACGTCCGTCGTATAGGTGTGTATATATATAAAAGCATCGGTAAAAACTTTGCTTTTGGGAGAGTGTTGCATGTCGGTGTGACAATCACACATGATTCATGAAATTGATGCATTCCCATACTCCTCGTGATACTTTTGCTTAGGAATCTAATTAACCCCGTTTTTTTAATGTAAAGTATATAAATGATCTTTCGATTATAGGGTATTATTTCATTAAGTCATTTAATTATTAAAATTTATAAAATAAGCATTTGATTAAAGAGTGTTATTTTGTTGAGTCTCTCGATTATTAAAAATTATAAAATGATTACCCGACTACTCATAATGTTCCAACCTCATCCTTTTCCGTTAAACAATTGACATTATTCTAAGTTGAACATTAACATATTGATTGTGATATGATAAAATATGATCCCAAAATC